GAAGAAGAAGAAGCAGACTGTTCTTCAGCAGTTTCGTTGCTGGGACATGGCGGAGAAAGTGGAAGTTCTGCTGGTGTAGACAAGGACAGACAAGATTCTGGTAGCGGTGGTGGTTCAGGGCATGGTGGTGGTAATGGACAATCGGTTGGGGTACATGGTTCACTAGATGGTAACGTTGGGCATGGAGGGCAACTTTCAACTTCTGGCGCAGGACATTCAGGTGGAGGAGGGGGTGGTGGACAAGGTTCAGAAGGTGCCGGCGGAGGACATTCTAGAGGTGGCGGAATTTCGGAACAATCAGTTTTTGGGCACGGTGGTGGTGGGGGAGGCACGGGGCATTCGGCTACAGGACAAGGAGGAGGTGAGGCAATTGTAGGGCATTCTGGGCATTCCAAAGGAGGTGGAGGTGGTGGACAAGTGACTGGAGGACAAGCGGCACCTGCTGCAGTAATTTTTGGCTTTGGCTTACGACATTTTCTTCGAGGAGGTGATGGACAAATGACTGTTGGTGGAGGCGGTAGTGACGGACATACTGGAGTTGGACAGACTGGTGGAGGACAGACCGGCCTAGGACATGATGGCATAACAGGCGCTGGTGCGGATGAGCATCCATTTTTTTCGTGCGTGCAGGAAGGACTACAACAGCAGCTGAAAGCTGCTGTCAAATGTGTCGTTGAGCATAAAATTAAAATTACTGCCCAGAATTTGGCCATCTACAACAAATAATTTTCAAACGTCAATTGTAAACAAACCAAAGTACTCTACCGGGAAATAAATGCAGAAGATAGAGATAATCGGGAAAAAGATATTGGTACGTAAAAATGCAAAAAAGTTTTTATTATTTTCAATTTAATTTGACGCGTCTGCTTTCGTATTTACAAATTAAATTTTTTAAAAAGTTTATTTTCTAGAACTGTAAAAAACAAAACGTCAATTTTCAAAGACAAGATTTTTTTGAGGTTCCATCCTTAAAAAAAAAAACAGTAAAATAAAAAAATTTAGTGATTCAAATACGCACTTAATAACCACATCATTTTAAGAAAAAAAAAGTTAAAAGTGTTGAGAAAAAAACAATTGGCAATGAATTCGGACAGTTTATAAGAATTGCAGGTTAAAGGTGTTGTTTTGACACAGAAAGTTTATTGTGGATTTCAGGGATAAAGATGTCAAGATAAACAGAGAAATTTGAAAATAAGATAAGTATAAAAAAAAAAAACTAATAAAAAAAAGAACATTAAAAATAGAGCAGAAGCATTGACTATAAAAACGGTAGAAATAAAACTGTGAAATTGTATCGTTAAGTTTTGCCTCTGTTATTGGCAAAACCTTAAGCAGTTTCTTTACTTAACTGCTGCTGATCGTAAAGCGCTGTTTGCTAAGCAGCTGTGTTTCAAGGTAAGATTGGAACAATTCGACGGTATTATATAGTGAACGATAAAGCTATACTTGTATGATAGAAACGCTTAATAGAAAAAGCAGCAAAAAAAAAAAAAAAAATGGAATAAGAAAAGGATTACGAAAACACGTTCTTTTCAAGTGTCAGCCAGCCAGATACCTATCATCAGAGATTCATGTTTTTTCTTTGTACATAGCATCTGCTATTGCTGCAATTGTTGCCGCATTTTTAATTTTTCTTAATACTTTCGTTCTTCGTCAGAAGAAAAAAGCTTCTCTTTCGGGTATTAAAATGTTGCGATAGATAAAGAAAAAGACAAGTGGCTAGATAATAAATTTGTTTTATTTTCTATGATCATATCAAAAGGCAATATTTTTGCTTCTGGTATCAAAGCAATAACATAATTTATATAAAAAAAATTTTTTTAAACTTTTTGCTAGTCAAATTATGCATGTCCACAAGTATCTCGTTCCTTTTTTTTTTTT